CCTCATGTGGGTATAGCCTATTTATTTATATAGCCTATTTATTTATATAGCCTATTATTTAGATGATTTATTCTAACTTTAAATTGTCTTGTCTTAAATCCCACATCACTTAATAATATAATCCAGTAGCAGGAACCTAATTTCATTTCCATACAACTAAAGGCTTTAGCCATAAATAAACTCCCACTCTGGCCCATCTCCTTGTCACCAAGCCAGACTCCTTATCAAAACGAGACGTCCTCTCAAGTAACCACATATGCCCTCACTGACTGCTATCTAAACTAAATTAAAAACCCCTATTCTGAAAAAGTCAGTCTAGGGCTGAGGATGACTGGTATATAGTAATGATGGTCTGAAATAGACTATACCCACATGAGGAAATTTTTGGAATTTTAATATATATATATATATATATATATATATATATATACATATTTTTTAAAGACATTTTAGGTTGAACATTCTTTTTAAACAATACAAGTATTTAAGTAAATGCTCTGTTATCTATAAAAAAGAACGTTAAATAAACAATATTAAATAACATTTAGCATATATATATATGAATGTATTATAAACAGAGCATTTAAATAAATACTATATATCTATAAAAGAATATTAAATATATATAAAAATATCTTTTAATAAATATATATATATATATATATTATATATTTCTATATATATATATATATATATATATATATATATATATATATATATATATATATATATATATATATATATATATATATATATATATATATGCATTCTATGATATATATGGGTTATATATATATATACAATAGAATTGGTGGAATCAGAGAGAGATAGTTCAAATTAGTTATTATATTCACTTTTATGCTAATCTTGGGACATTCAAGAATTTAATTTATTCTTCCCAATGGGTAAATAGCATTCTTTAAGATGATGGCATTGATGACTAAATTCACCACCATCATGCAGGTTCAGGATGAGAATATATCCAGTCTCATATATAAAAGGAGGCTTTAAATAATCAAGTATTTTTAGTTAATGATGATGGCATTGATGACTAAATTTTGTTTAAGGATGAGACCTCAACCAAACCAAGAAGTGACCCACACATTTGATTTCATGACCTTCCTCTGTGGCACATAAAATGAGTCTTTTAGAATCCAGTTACAAGAACTGCAATGGACTACTGCTGACTCTGTTATAATTATATAGATATATATAGTTATTATACCATATATAGCACGGCCATCATATTTAGCCCTCTTCATCCACTGATTCAACTACTGAGATCATCCACTTGTTCCACTGTTGGGGCCTATGGGGTTGGTTGTACTTAGTCTGGGTCTTCAAAATTGCTACCAAGAACTCCCAACGTCATCTCTCTCAGAGTCATTAGGCATATATATATATATATATATATATATATATATATATATATATATTTTGGACAGTTTCTATGCACTGTAAATACACACACAAACACACGTACATACATATATATATATATATACACATATATATATACACATATATATATATACACACATACATACATGTATGCATATATATATATATAGAGAGAGAGAGAGTGAGAGAGAGAGAGAGAGAGAGAGAGAGAGACATCATTTTACCTTTAACAGAGCCTTTTGTGAATGTTGGCACATAGAATAAAATAATCAATGACACACTTGTAAATAGTGAATGATGAGGGGAAAACATTAAACAGGATGTTGTGGAGAGCCATGATCACCCAGATCCTGAAGAGACATGACACATAATAGAAGAAGCATATGGATGGCAGAACAAGGACAAAGAGGGATGGTAAATTGTGAAAAGTTAATCAGAGCAACAATAAAGAGGATATTGTGGAGGTGACACAGCCTATAAAAGAAGAAGAAGCATAATGGTGGCAGAACACGGACAAAGAGTGATGGTTAAGAGTGTAAAGTTACTAAGAGCAACAATAAACAGGATGTTGTGGAGAGCCATGATCACCCAGGTCCTGAAGAGACATGATGCATAACAGAAGAAAAATCATACAGATGATAGAACAAGGACAAAGAGGAATCATAAAGAGTAAAAAGAAGTAAAGGAAGTTGTGGAGAGCCATGAACCATAAAAGAAGAAAAGGCATATGGATGACACAATCAGGACAAAGAATAATGGTAAATAGTCAAAAGTTACCTAGAGCAACAAAAGACAGGATGTTGTGGAGAGCCATAATCACCCAGGTCCTGAAGAGACATGAACCATAAAAGAAGAAAAGGCATATGGATGACACAATCAGGACAAAGAATAATGGTAAATAGTCAAAAGTTACCTAGAGCAACAAAAGACAGGATGTTGTGGAGAGCCATGATCACCCAGGTCCTGAAGAGACATAGCACATAAAAGAAGAGGAAGCATAAGAATGGCACAATCAGGACAAAGATGGATGGTAAAGAGTCAAAAGGTAGAGCAGCAAAATATTGGAAGATGTGGAGAGCCATGATCACCCAGTCTCTAAAGAGGCATCACACATAAAAGAAACATACAGATGGTACAATCATGACAAAAAGGGATAGTAAATAGTCAAAAGTTACCTAGAGCAACAAAAGACAGGATGTTGTGGTGAGCCATGATCACCCAGGTCCTGAAGAGACATGACACATAACAGAAGAAAAATCATACAGATGAGAGAACAAGGACAAAGAGGAATCATAAAGAGTAAAAAGATGTAAAGGAAGTTGTGGAGAGCCATGATCATACATGCCCTAAAGAGACACTGTCCATTAAGGAAGAAGAAGCATAATGGTATCAGAACATGGAAAAGAATGGTGGTAAAGAGTGAAAAGTTATTTACAGAACAATAAAGAGGATGTTGTGGAGGGTCATAACCATCTGGGTCCTGAAGTGATACAGCCCATAAAAGAAGAAGAAGCATAATGATGTCAGAACAAGGACAAAGTGGGATGGTATAGGGTAAAAAGACAAGAAGCTGTGGAGAGCCATGAGGAGGCACAGCCCATAAAAAAGAAGCATAATGGTGTCAGAACAAGGGCAAAGAGGGACTTTATTGTGGGATCTTACCCATAATAATAATAATAATAATAATGGACTATTCCATACTTAATAAATACTGTGCCTCAGGAGTCAGTAGTTCAAGACGAGAGTCAGTAGTTCAAATTGAGTCAAGAGTTGAGTCAGAGGCAGTCCGAAACAGAGTCGCGTTCAGACAATTACTGCAAGACATTGGAATAGTGATACTGGTCGAGACTACATTGTTCTCTCTACTAAACCTGATTGTTCATACTAACACTTCTACTTCTCTGTATATATTCCTGTTTGTAATATATCGGTGTTATTCCATACCTGTGCTCGAGTTCTTCTTTATTGGTTCTACCTTGGACTATCACCGTGGTACAAGGAACCGGACCATAACAGGCTTAAATGTTATTTAGAGCAACAAAAAACAGAGTAGTTTTAGAGAGTCATGAATTGCCATATCCTGAAAGGATACAATATATAAAAGAAGCAGGTTTCCTAAAATAAAACTTTTTTTTTATCAATAATATTTTTTGTTTTTTTTAGCATTTCACCCCTAGAAAGGCGGGAAACCACTAGCATGCAAGGGGTTACTGAGGATTTGGAGCGAGAGGAGATAGCAATGATAGAGGAAAGGATGAGGAGGATAGTGGATAGATCAAGGCAACTGGAGATGTTGATTGACATTACATTTGAATTTGAGTTGGAGATTAAAGCTATCAGGGAAACAGGAGTAGGGAAGGGAGTTCCACAGGTGAGAGGTGCGAGGTATGAAGCTATTGGAGTAGAAGAGGCGGCTTTCATTTAACAGTTTCAACAGTGAAAGGGTGAGAGTGGCATGCCAGCCTCGTAGGATGCTTGAATTCGCGATTGGAACCAGCAAAAGCAGCTCATCGGAGCAATTACCATGAAAGTATTTATAAAAAAGTCAGTGAGAGGTGATGGCACATCTGTGAGAGAGCGACTGCAGATGAGATGCCAGATCAGGGCCAATTGTATTACATATCCGTCTCTGGATCTTATCAAGAACCCTGAGGCAAACAGAAGGGACTCCAGACCATATATGGCAACAATACTCCATGCAAGGGCGAATGGTTGATTTACATTAAATTTCTATTTATATAATTATATATCTACAAGGCCTGATTAAAAATATATCAGGACTGGGGCTATAAAAAGAAAACTTCAACACATATCAGTTCAGTATTTAATCTCCTTCAAAGTAGTTCTTGTTGAAGCCACACACTTTATACAACATTATTTCGATTAATGGAAGTATTCATAGAACACCTTTATTATGGATAGCAAGCATCTGCCTTGTTGCATTCATTTGTATTTCCTTGACATGCTGAAATCTTGTTCCTTTCAAGTTGGGTTTGATTTTTGAAGAGTAAAAAGTCGCATAGGACAAGATCTGGAGAATATGGAAGTTGTTGAACCTTGGGAATGTTGGCTTAGCCAAAAACTGCTGCACAAGCCATGGTCACTGTTGGAAACTCTGTGGTGTTGTGAGATGACCACACTCGACACTAATTCCTCACTGCTATAAACAGTGGAAGCGTGTGTGAATGTTATAACTTAATGTGTATGCATGACAAAGTTCAAGATCAATCTGGGCAAAGTGGCTTCATTCTACATACTTTAGCTCTGTTACCATAGCAACAGTCCTGATATTTTCTGATCAAACCTGGTATGTGCTCATAAATGTATCTTATGTATTTCAGAACATTTAAGTGTGTATTTGTTTGTCTATTTATATATCCCAAGTTTTTTTTATTTATTTTAGTCTTATATACACATATATTATTACAATTCTGTGTGTCCATGGGCAGATGTGTGTATTTAGTGTGAATTATCAAGTGTTGACATTCATATATTTATATGTGTATGTGTGTTTATTTGTCTGTGTTTACACCACACATGACAAACAGAAAGAATTATAAATTCATAGAGAAAATGGTTTGTTGTCTATGAAAAATGGTTTAAGGAAGAAAGAATTTGACAGAAGGAAAGAGAAAGGAGAAAAAAAAAAAGAAAAAGCAGGATAGAGAGAGTGAAAGGGAGAGATGTAGAGTACAAAGTGGGAGATGAAGCACAGAGAGAGGCAGTGCATATAGAGAGACAGAGAGAGAGGGAGAAATGTAACAGAGAGGGATGTGAAGTACAGAGAGAGTGGGGGAGGCAGAGCATATAGAGAGACAGACAGACAGACAGACAAAGATGGAGAGATATAACAGAGAGGGATGTGGAGTATAGAGAGAGTGGGAGAGGCAGAGCATATAGAGAGACAGACAAATAGACAGAGAGGGAGAAATGTAACAGAGAGGGATGTGAAGTACAGAGAGAGTGGGGAGGCAGAGCATATAGAGAGACAGACAGAGAGGGAGAAATGTAACAGAGAGGGATGTGAAGTACAGAGAGAGTGGGAGAGGCAGAGCATATAGAGAGACAGACAGAGAGGGAGAAATATAACAGAGAGGGATGTGAAGTACAGAGAGAGTGGGGAGGCAGAGCATATAGAGAGACAGACTGACAGACAGAGAGGGAGAAATATAACAGAGAGGGATGTGGAATATAGAGAGAGTAGGAGAGGCAGAGCATACAGACAGACAGACAGACAGAGAGTGAGAAATATAACAAAGAGAGATGTGAAGTACAGAGAGAGTGGGAGAAGCAGAGCATATAGAGAGACAGACAGACAAAGAGGGCAAAATGTAACAGAGAGGGATGTGAAATACAGAGAGAGTGAGAGAGAGACAGAGCATAGAGAGAGGGAGAAAGAGAGAGGAAGAGAGAGAGATGCAACAGAGAGGGATCTGAAGTACAGAGACAGTTGCAGAAGATTGAAGGAACTAAATAACTGTAGATGTGAAGGTGAAGCACAAGAAGGGAGGTGAAGCACAAGAAGGGAGGTGAAGCAGAAAGAGAAAGAGAGAGAGGCAGGCAGAGCACAAAGAGAGAGAGAGATGTAGATGGGGGTGATGTGAAGTGCAGAGGGAGTTAAAGCAATAGGTAGTAAATAAACATAGATGTGAAGGGAAGGAGAGATGGGGAGCAGATGTTACACAGAGAAGTAGATATATATTGCATAGAGAGAGAGAGATAGCACAGAGAGAGAGAGAGAGAGACAGATAGAGGAGAGATATAACAGAGAGGGATGGGAACAGAGAGAGATAGAGAGACAAAACAGAGAGGGAGGTAAAGCAAAGAGGGAGATGAAGCATAGAGGGAGAGGGAGAGGTAGAGCAATGAGAGAGAGAGACGGGGGAAGAGATGTAACAGAGAGAGAGGTGAAACACAAAGAGACTTATAGCAGAGTGAAGGAAGTAAATAATGTGAAGGTGAAGAGAGAGGGGGCACATAGAGAGAGAGATGAAACAGAAATGAAGGTGAAGCAGAGAGGGAGATGAAGCATCAAGAAGAGAGAGAGAGAACACACTGATAGAGAGAGTGGGGAGAGATGTAACAGAGAGGGATATAAAGCATAGAGAGAGTTATAGCAGAGTGAAGTAAATAAACATAGGTGTGAAGGGGAGGAGAGAGTGGGGAGCACAGGGAGAGAGATGAAACAGAGACGAAGGTGAGCACACATGGATAGATGGAACAAAGTGACACAGATGTGAATGGGTTAAAGAAAGAGAGAGGTCGAGCACAAAGTGAGAGATGAAACAGAGCAGAATGGGAAGATAGTATAGGAAAGCAGGAAAAAATGACTATCTATCATGTGTAAGGAAATAGAATGCATGATCCTTAGCAAGAGGAAAAGCCCAAGACGTGAACTATGAGCTGAAATTGTTAAAAAATCAAGAAAATACAAAAAAATTTAAGTTTTTGAATATTTGAACAACAGTGGAGTAATGGATAGCGGCTCAGAGTGAGGAATCAGAGAGCCGAGTTCAAATCCCAGTCAAATCCATTACATTCACTTATGTGCTAATACCCTCGGGAAAGTCATGAATTCTCTTCTTCTCCCCCCAGGTATGGGGAAATAACAGGATAGATCGGGTTCTATAGCACTGGATGGCAACTGGTCTACTGCAGAAAGAAATGGCAACCTCCTGCGGGAAAAAAATCTGCTTTGTCAGTCATGTATTGAAAGATACATGATTGCCTATGCATGTATCACTCATGACATATAACGGACTAACTGCACAGAAAAGGTGACACCCAAATCCGAAGGCACATTGGATTAAAGATATTAAAGATGCCTCCTAGAAGCTAAACAATGTATTAAGAAGCAAGAAGACTTTGTTAGAAATAAAGAAAATAGTGCTTAATCCTCCCATAGGACAGTAAATACTGGACAATTTTCTCACAGATGAAGAGGAGACTTGAAGTAACAGAGATGTGGTCCTACAGAAGGATGCTGGGAATACCATGGAAGGAGCATGTGAACAATGAGGAAGTTTTAAAGAAAATGGTGAAAAGAAAGGACATAGAAACAGAAAGAGATAATTGAAATTTCAGACAAACATAATGAGGAAATAGGGCTTGGTGAATTTGATACTCACATGGCTTAATGAATACAATAGGCAAGCATCAAGTAACCTACCTCAGAAGCTTGTGTCAATAGATGACAGAACACTGAGTAGGAGGGATAGTAAGAAGCTACAAATGGTAGGAAGTCATGGAGAGCCATAACTGCCAATGTCCTAATGGGACATAGTACATAGAAGAAGAATATTCAAATCATATTTTGCTTAAAACATTTGACAAAGAATGATAAACATTTTCACTATTTTATCTGCTAAGCAACAAACAATGTAACTTGTATCTTCTCCCCTTTTTGAAATGTATAACTTGTCCTCATTTAGTCCTTCACACATTAAAGTGATTAATACCTGCTATCCAACAACTATTTAGTCTCTCGGTAATTCACTTTTATTCTGTTCTTGACCAACAAAAAACAACTGGTGCTGAAAGAGTTTAAAACTATTGTTGTTTTTAAATGGTTGCAATTAAAAAAAATAATCAGCAAAAATAAAAGAAAAGAAAATGATCAGAATATATTCTGTCTGAATTTCTGGGATGAAGAGTTATAATTTACAAAATTTACATTCAGTCTATTTTCCTCATTTTTCTTGTTGTTATAGCAATGTCTTGGCCACTGTGTCCTCCAACCTTCATCAGGTATATATTAATCCAGGTAACCTATAGGGAGTTCTGAACGTTTTATCCATTCTATAGGGGTAGACTGCTCTCGTGCTACTGCCCATGTCTAGGGATATCTCATCTATTTATTTTTCATACTGCTTAGTTATTGCTCGCCATTTTGTTAGGTTTAGGGTTCTAAGTTCACAGCAGAGAATTGTCCTATGGGACAACAGCCTAGTGGATTAAAGTGAATGGGTTCATGAATTTGTAATTGAGTTCAATCCTTGGGTCAAGCAGTGTGTATTTGGAATCAGTAGAAATGGGGTTAGCAATAACTAAGCAGTATTAAAAATAGGAACTAGACAAGACATTCCGAGATATGTATATATATTCTTAATCAATTTATTATATATATGTGTTTATGCATATATATATATATATATGATGGACTCTCCCGTCGGTTTTGACGTATGAGGTTCTGACAACTTTATTTATTTAACCCTGTGTGTGAGTCACAAGTGACATTTCAGTCCTGCTAGGGATTTGCAAAGAAGTCCACAGATTGTGCAAGAGTGTGGACTCTTGGAGTATATGGCTGGAACAGCAGCAGATATTTTATTCCTTTCCCTAGTTTGACGAAGATGGCAATGTTTGATGCTGCCTTGTTCTTGATGCCATTGTAGCAAGTAGTCTTTCATTCATTATGAAATATATATATTACATTATATATATATTAAATTATATATATATATATATATATATATATATATATATATATTATATATATATATATATATATATATATATATATATATATATATATATGAAAAGTGTATATAAAATAAATAAATATATATATGTATAATTATTTATATATATATTATATAAAGGGTACTTATTAGAGCGCTCAATAACCAAATATATATATATATATATATATATATATATATATAATAAAAGCTAAGAAATTCATTGGTATATAATCCAAGTGGATCCTAGTAATATAAAAATATTAAAACTGATCCACAAAAAGACCTCAATGTATTTATTATTACAGAGCAAATAATTAATAAAAAATAAAATCCCAAATCACCTCATATGGGGGAATAAGCTTCTTTTGGCAGACAAAAATATAGGTTGTCTTGTCTGTATTATACACCCTGGTATGGACTGAGTTTGTGTCAGAAATAGAAACTTAACTGTGAAAGCTAATAAAAAAAAAAAAAATCTCCGCACCAACCCACCCCCAATCAAAGGAATAATCCAGAATTTATCCATTTCAATGTGATAGTCAGATAAAAGGCACAGGTCAGGGTTTAGGGGTCAGGGAGGATGAAAAGTATTTGTCTTATAAAATTAGAAGTTTTATAAAATTAAACCCATATATTAATCTTATGACATTAACATGGGGTTATATAAACAATGAAATATTCATTTAAAACTAAGAGAGGAATAAAAGAGGTTTAAAAAAATAACTTTAAAATATATAGATAAAGAGATGTATAGGATTAAAGAAAAGAGAGTTCTTAAAGGAGGGGAACTTTTATAAATTAATAGTGTAAAGAGGGGGGAATATAGAAATTAGAATTAGTTATACAGTGTGACCCGGATATAAAAGAAACCCGGATATAAGAGAGATTTTCTCTGGTCCCAAATTAGAGCCTGTGTTAATGTATACATATAGACCAAACCCAGATATAAGAGAAACCCGGATATAAGAGAGATTTTCTCTGGTCCCAAATTAGAGCCTGTGTTAATGTATACATATAGACCAAACCCAGATATAAGAGAAACCCGGATATAAGAGAGATTTTCTCTGGTCCCAAATTAGAGCCTGTGTTAATGTATACATATAGACCAAACCCGGATATAAGAGAAACCCGGATATAAGAGACTTATTCTCCAGTCCCGACAACTCTCTTATCCGGGTTACACTGTACATTTGACATTAAAAGAGAAAGGAGTAAATGTTATGGGAATATAGTAGCTAATTAAGAAAAACCTATATTATAGATATTTGAATTTATTTTTATGCCATTATATATATATATATATATATATATATTTTAAGACATTTTTATGTTTATGCCATTCTTTTTATAGATACAAATATTTAAGTAAATGTGGGAAAATGTTGTTTAATACTGTTTATTATAAACAGAGCATTTACTTAAATATTTGTATCTATAAAAAGTATGTATAAACATAAAATGTCTTAAATATATATATATATATATATATATATATATATATATATTTTAAGACATTTTTATGTTTATACATTCTTTGTATCTATAAAAGTATGTATAAACATAAAATAATATATATATATATATATATATATATATATATTTTAGTTTATTTTTATGTTTATACATTCTTTGTATCTATAAAAAGTATGTATAAACATAAAAATAATATATATATATATATATATATATATATATATATATATATATATATTTAAGACATTTTATGTTTTATACATTCTTTTATAGATACAAATATTTAAGTAAATACCTGTAAATATTTGTTTAATACTGTTTATTATAAAATAGCATTTACTTAAATATTTGTATCTGTAAAAGAATGTATAAAATAAAAAATGTCTTTAAATTATTGTCAGACTTTGTCCATTTCATAATATATATATATATATATATATATATATATATATATATATATATATACACATTTCTCTTGTAATTTATTCATTTGTGCAATAAATTCCTTTTTTAATCACTTTATTTTTTTCATAAATAAATAAACTGTTCCACTATTTTAACTATAAACTATAAATGTTGTAAAATTACAATGGCCAGTTTTCAATTTGTTCCTGACAACTGCGACTTTCATGAAACTCAGAATTGCACCAAATGGTGAGGAACAAATGTATATTTATTCGTAGAATAAATTTTAGGTCTGTTATTTTACATTTATGTACTGTTTTATCGATCGCACTACATTATATATATATATATATATATATATATATATATATATATATATATATATATATATATATTAAGGAGGCACGGTGGAGCAGTGGTTAATGAGTTTAATTCCAGTCGAATCCACTGCATTCACTTACGTGCTAATACCCTTGAGGAAAGGTATGTATCTCTTTATC